CCTCCCCACCCAGACCCTCCCCACCCAGACCCCCTCCACCCAGGCCCCCACCATTTCCCACACAGCCCCAGAGGACAATATTGGGCCTGCGTGGACCAAGGGGCAGAATCCCATGCCAGAGAACTCTATAGGGCCCAGGGAGATGGGTCCCATTTCAGCCCACACGCATGCGCTCAGGGAGCCCAGCAGCAAGCCCCATGTCTCTGTGGTCCCTTTCTCCTCTGAAGGGGCCCCCAGCAGGGAGTCAGTGGCCACAGGCAGCCCATTCTCCAAGGAGACAATCCATGCCACCATGGACTCCCAGAGTCTGGGTGTCATCTCCACCCCCGTCCCTGACTCCCCGGCGGCCACCCGGAGGCAGGCAGTGGGTCTGCTGGCCTTCCTCGGCCTCCTCTTCTGCTTGGGAATGGTCATGTTTGCCTACCAGAGCCTGCAGGGCTGTCCCCGCAAGATGGCAGGGGACATGGTGGAGGGGCTTCGCTATGTCCCCCGGAGCTGTGGCAGTAACTCGTATGTCCTGGTGCCAGTGTGAGCTCCCCACCCGCCTGTTTCCAAATGTTCCACTCAACAGCCGCCAGGGGTCCCCCAATCCTCACTCCCACCATCCCTCAAGGGCCTGGCCTGAGCAGGGGATGGTCAAAGCAGGGAGGCAGAACCCTCCAGGTAAGACTGACCCCAGCTCCTAGGCATACCCCACGATCACCCTCGACCTACTGGAGACAGGGTGTGTGACCTCCACAATTCACTCCGATGTCTCCGAGTCAGAACTAACTCTCTGCTGCTGCTGGCTGGTTAGAGGTTCCCTTTGATACCGTCCTCGCCCCAACGAACAATTATTTATTGAATGCCCAGCCCCTCTGGCCCACGCGTGCGTGCGTGCGTGCGTGCGTTCCTCCATCATCCCATCTGACAAAGGAGCCTCAGGCCAGGCCCTTTGCCCCACGCCCTCTGACCTCATCATGTCTCTTGGCCCCCTGCAGTCGCCAGTCACCCCGGCTCCCTGCGGTGCTATCTCCCCTGTCCCCTGTATAGAGCCCACGCCCCAGCCGGGGACCTGTCCTTTTTTGCATGAGGCTAGTGTGGTGTTTCCTGGCACTGCTTCCTGGTGAAGACTGTGCCCTCAGTCAGGGGTCATGGGAAGGGGAGATGACGTTACCCAGTGGCTTTGACTAGCCCCCCGTCCCCCTCTGTCCGTGCTGTGCAGAGAAAGAACATAGACTCTGAACGCGAAGGCTGGGGTTCTAGTCCCGGGCCCACCACCGACTCGACAAGGCATTCGTACCTCTGGTTTCCCATCGGTGAAAGGAAAGAGGATCGCCCAATATGTGGCAATAACCTGTACTCCTGACGGGCATCACCAGTTGGTCCAGAGACCCCTGAGCCAGTCTCTGATAACTGATGACCATGGCACATCTGTGGGCTCTGCGACCTGGGGGGCCTGCCGGGGGCGGGGGGCGCGATCTGACAGTGCGGCTCTGCCCTGTTGGAGGGAGTTAGCACTGTGGGCCCCCGCAGTGGCGGCCAGGCTGGGGTACCTCCGGGGCAGAGGCTAATGTTGAAGGCCTCTCTCCAACTTTGAGGACAGCCCTTCTTTGTGTCCACCTGGCTTACAGGGCCACTGAGACAGCCTGGGTGGCATGTGACAGGCCGAAGGAGGAGGGGAAGCTTGTAGGCTCCCCGGAAGGCCAAGACACACAGAAGGAGCCAAGGAGAGGCTGCAGGAAGCAGTCACCCTCTGCGTCAGGGACTTAAGTCCAGCATTTGCTCTTTCTTTCCTGTGGCCCGGGTACCTTGTCCGCTTCTCTTCGCTACAAGATCTCCTCCCTTCACCTTCGCCCCCACTGCAGGCAGGGCCAGGTGAGATCAGACTCCACCACGGAAACCTGAAGTCCCCAGGTGTATTTCTGAAAGGTACTCTGTCCTGCGAGGAAGGTCTCACGGCAGAAGGAAAGCTGTGGGCATGGAGTCGGGGGTTCCCTTTGGCTCCTGAGGACTCAGGCAGGCCTGGGCGGGCCGCAGGCTGACCAGGCTGACCAGTGCCCGATGGTCAGAGCTAGACCTGCAGGCCTCACCGCTCAGGGCTCCTGGTGGTAGCTCCCCACCTCCCTCTGATGGCCCCCAAGGTGACCCTTGCCCTCACGTCTGAAAAGCTGCCCATGGGCTGGGTTTCCTTCAGGTACAGGTGACATATTCCTTCACAGAGGGCTACTCAGAGGAAGCAAACACAGCCCTGGTCCACAGGGGGAAGACTGGGTCCTCTGCGTCCCCCACTGGGCATGATCCCTGCTGTTCGCCTGGCTTGAGCAGGGGACACACTGACAGCTCAGAGAAGGAGACAGCAAGTCTGAATGCACTTTTTGGGGCTCTTCCCTGCAGAGAGCCTTCAAGGAATGGGGTACCCATGATGGGGGTCCCTTCCTTTGTAAGGAAGCAGCTGGGGAAGCTGGTCCCCTTTCCACAAACTTTGTTAGTTCCCCCAAACAGGACACGGACAAGGACAGTTTGGGAAGGACTTTAGAAGGAGTTGATTGATCCTTTTGCTTTTCCATCCCTATCACCAATGTCTGTGCCATTTTGTATTTTACTAATAAAATTGAAAAGTCTTGTGAATCAAATAAAGGTGCTTTTTCTAGGGCAGGCTTAAAGTGTTAGGAGGGATGGGACGAGGGAGGGGACGGGACTCCCTGGGTCAGCCCTGGAGACTCCAGTCTCCAGCTCCTGTGGCTCAGAGTGGCAGGAAATTGTGCAGTTAGCAGGAAAAGGGGCCCTGGGGATGAAGGTGAAGAGGGTCAAGCCTCTGGCCTGGCTCTGCTCCTCGCAGCCGTGGGAGGCCTTGGTATCTCCATTAGTGACCTGGTGACCCATGGGAGCAAACCAAGCCACATCTTTCCCTTCGCTACTTTGACTCATTCCTGGTCCAGATAAAGATCGAACAGGGACTACTTCTCAAGGGATTTGGGTAGTCATAGCTATTACCCAAGGACGAACCTCCTGGTGGCCCCTCAGCCCTCCAGTGTCCTGGGGTGGCGTCCTAAGAGCTGCTATGTACAGTC